AGACCCATAACTCACCCAAATTCATAATCAAATTCATAATTTTGAGGACAATTTATATGTCAAGTCTCATATTCCCTAAATTTAAGTCTAGTGTTAAGTCTCAATTCCTCTAATATCATAACTTTATTGGAATTCATATAATACAATACATCTAATATTGAATTACCTATCTCAATTTATCAAAACTTAATTTATAATATGTTAACTAAAATAATAATATTTAAAATTGGAACCTTGGTTACGAAAGTACGAAACTAGTGGCAAGAACTATAAACTCAAAATTTCCCCATTTACACGCTCTGAACATCGACTCACAATTACTACGTGGTTCATTTGCTCTATATCATGCAGACAAGTTGAATGTACTTGGCAAATTATAACCTTCTTTACCACGTGGAATTGCCTAAATAACCCACTATTCCACGTCATATATATACACACATTTATATATTACATATCAATACATTACATATACATGCATCTATTTAGATGATTTTTTATTTATTGTCATGTGTCAAATGACATGGTATGCTAAGTTAAATAAAAAAAATGAATAGAATTGTGTCACAAGTCAAAATGCAATAACATGTCTAGTCAAATCAAAGTCCGAGCACATTATGTGTACAAGACATATACGTTACTATCTCAACTGAATATTGGCATGTTTATTTAAATGCAATTGACCAAAAATGGGACAGAAATCCATCACAAGATTCACAAAACATTATTTTTTTTAATTGTTGACTAAATATGCTATAAATAGGACCTAAAGGAAAATAAACATCATCATCAAATACCTGCACAAATTACTTGCAAGTGTTTTATTGAGAATTACACCAAAAATCAAGATGAATTTCAATATATATATATATATATTAAAATAACTTAATGTATTTAATATCAAAGACCCTAATTCCCAAGAGAGCATGGTGTGGAGGCATGAGTCCTCCTGTGTGTTCTTTATAATGTTGACTGATTATGTACTTGCTCCAGTGTTGTTGTCACTTGTTCATGTTTTTTGTTGCTTTCCACATGCTAAGTGCTATAGTTGATTTCATGTCATTACTTTATGCATATTGGTTTCAATTTTGAGTATGTCGATGATATCTACTCAGTACATGTTGCCCTATACTAATCCCTATTCGTATTTTTCTTCGTTTTCCTTTTGTGGAGTGCAACGAGTGTACTAGTGACTTTGACTCGCCCTCAGCTCTAGGAGTCTCTAGCACATCAGGTTCCAGGATGAGCTATTCATTCTAGTTCGTGTTGATTCTCCCGTTCATGACATGATGTCCTTAGTTTTCAGACACAAACTATTATATTTATTTATTTTGGTATTTTTGATACTCTTAGACTTAGCATTTGGGGATTAGATGTCCTTGTGTGATGACTTTCAGGTTTTGGGAATAATATGTAATAGACTCTAGTGAATTCGTATTTTTTACATTAATAAGTTTTGAGCTTTTGCATTATGATTATATTTTATAAGTTGAATAGTTAATATAAGTTAGGATTTGAATTTGTTGGCTCGTCCAACTAGGAGGTTAACAATGGGTGCCACTCATGACTCGTTTTGAGTTGTAACACATGCAGCCTCAAACTGATCAAAATAATTAGAGTCATCGTCTAATATTTAGAAAAAAACTAGGAAACCCTTTTTTCAAGTGTAAACTTTTTTTAAGCCTGCAAAATCTATGTGATTTTTGGTAGGAAATTTATTTACTTCAAAAGAAATGTGTTAAACATTCCTAAGAGACTATCAAAAAATCGGTTTTAAACTTAGTCATAATATACTAGAAAGGACTATCTAAAAACAACTAACTTGTTCCTAAAGAGAAGTGAAAGAAATAGTTAAGTTAAAATAAGTAAGATGGAAGGAGGTTAAAATTGTGACATCTCATACTTCGAAAAGTCAACTAGAGATTCGTATAAGTAAAACTTCAGTTTTTAGTTTTGGGACAACTTTAAACAATTATAACTTTCAGCACATACAGAGTTAGGTAGCCCATGGGGTGTCAAATCAAAGGTCTTTAAGTCCTCTTTCCAACGTCGCCAAGTTTGCTAAATTCCGAGCTCAAATGAAGGAGTTATGCCCATTTGAATGCAACCTCTCTAATTTAGACATTTTATCCGTTTTAAGAAGGGGTATTTTGATATTTTCCTTACCCCCACTAAGCCTAAGCATTTTCTCACCCAAATAGGGGTCTAAACTGATTTAGATCAATTTTCATTCATTCTTTTTAGAAATTTTAGGCAAAGTTCGAGAGGAGAAAAGAGAAGGTTTCAAGAGTTCATCAAGAAATTTGGGGAAATCGCTAAGAACTTAGTTCTTTAGAGGTATGTAAGCTTTCATAGTGTTAGGTTTGTTCGCCCTCACGCCAATCATGTAAAATTTTACCCATGAATTCGTTCTTGAAGTTGATTTATTGAGTTCTTGAGAAGTTCTTGAGTTTTAGTTAACAATGGAGGTCTTTGAGTTCTTAAGGCTAGGGTTTTTGCGAATGAGTTGAGTCACTTGATATATTTTTGTGTATGTTTCATTGAAAATATTTGGGGTTTATGTATTTTTGTGAAATTGGACCATGGAAAGGCATTGGTTATGAATTGAATCGAGTTTGGGAGATGAAGAAAAGATCAGACAAAAATAAGCGCCCAGGTCTGCATCGCGGAGGCGTTTTAAAACTCCATTCTTTAGATATCCCCCTCTGCTCTCCGCGTAGCGGAGAGAATACGGGTGTCCTCTGTCTCGAATTTTATTTCACGACCACAAATTAAATCCTCTCCCGCGTCGCGCCAGTGCTTCTCAATTCGTGTCATCGCTCTCTTTTTATTACTAACTATCCAAGCCTTCATTAACCATTGAGAGATCTTATATCCTAATCGTAGCTCTTAAATTCACATTTCAAATCAAAGTAAAGTTAAGAGGAAGGTTCAAGAAAGTCCTTTTGAGAAGTCTTTTACAATTATTCATAACTCGGTTTAAGATTTAAGTAAATGTGTATGAGAATGAGGATAGTTGTATTTCATGTTTCAAAATGAGTATAAGGGAACTAAGTATTCCCGATTATGTGATACTTTTACATTTAAAAGAGAGAAACACTGATTTCTAAATGGGTTTACAAGTTAAGAGGAGTTTCAGAGTATTATCTCTTTTAAGAGGATCTTTTGAGTAATTATCTCAAATCAAGGAAGAGTTATGTTTTAAAATATTTGAGGATGAGTTATATATATTATTGGGAGTAGTATTGAGCACCGATATGTGGATGATTTCAGACAACTCAAAATCCTCATAAACCATGTATGCCAACATGGGTAAAGAGACATACTTTTTAGATGATTCTTTATTGCTTTTAAGCATACCTTAGTGGATCCACTAAGTTGAGGTGTTCTATACTGATAAGGTATAGGACAGTTCTGATAGCGTGTGCGACACGCTGTATCATCACTAGCTCATAGTGATGCTTGTTGGTTAGAGAATCTCTCAAATAAGCATAAAGAGTATGCTTTTGTATTTTTATACATATTGAGTTGATATCTACACTTTTAAAATGATTTATATACTGCGTCTTATTATGATTGTTTTCATGTTGAGGTGAGTATGTCTTCCCTTTCTATCAATTCAGTTATATTTATATATCTTTATGTTTCAGTTTTTCCCTTACATGCTCGACATTCAATGTACTGACGTCATTCGACTTAAATCATTTCATGATGAAAATACAGGTGTTCAAGGTCATCAACTGGCGCTTCATTGATCCCATCGCATTCTAGCTAGCTTTGGTGAGCCTCCTTGCTTTCCGGAGGGCTTCGCATTATGATTTTGTTTTGTTAAGATATCCTGGGTCTTATCACGATATCTATCATAGTTATTAGAGGCTTCATAGACAGTAGTTGTATGCGGAGTCTTTCATTGTTCCATGTTGATGTTTTAATGACTTTGAGTTGAACACTTATGTTTATTAAGTATTTCAAACAATTTTGAGTTAAACTACTACATTAATGAGGTCTTATGAGTTAATACTTGCATTTCAGTTCCTATGTTGTTGAGTAAGTCTTCCGCTGGGTAATGAGCTAGGCCAAGGGTTCTCTTGGGGACCAGAAATGGTTCTCGAGTGCCGATCACGTCCAGGGTGTAGACTCTGGGCGTGACAAAAATAGTTACTGAATAGAAAAGGTATATTTTAGTACATTATGAATATACTAGATACATGAACCCATGCTAGCACGGGGTCCAATATATGTTATTTTTTTGTCTCAATTGTAATATCGATGAAACTTGAGAAGTTATCCAAAATTTTATATGATTTTAAAATATTTTAAATTATTAATTATTGTGATTTATAGTACTTATATTTTTTTAAAATAATATGTATTATCTCTTTGTCCCAATTTATGTGACATATATAGAATTTCAAAACTTAATCATTTCTTATACGTCTTTTAAATAATTTAAGTTGTTAATTTTTTCTTATTGCACTTCTTTGTGTTAATTGTCGACTATTATGTTACAGTTCTTATCCATGAATCTACAGGAAGATGGCATAGCGCATAGAATAAGATTGATGATTCGAATGACACCTTCTCTGTGTTTTGTACTCTAAAATGAATTGTTGTTAGAATGTTCTTTAGATGTGATATAAAGTATTTACAAAAATGCTTAAAACTTGGCCAAATTGTATATAACTAGCAGACAGTTTAGAAGGGGATGAACTTAGAAACAATGTTTGTTAGTTTATGATAGAATGATTAAATTAATCACATATTACGTAAAATAAAAGTAAAGACAAACTACTAAAAACTTCGTCTTAGTTTACCAAAGTTATTAGTATAAATAAAAATTTCGCAAAAGAATATATGTTGTCATGCATTTTTTGGTAAGAAAAAGGAGTAGTTTTGATTCAATAAATTAAGGGATCGTTGTTTTGTTGCTGATTAGAGTTATGTAGGTATTAGTAAGACATAAATCATCAATAATATCTAGTATTCTATATTATATAAGCCAACAAGGTATTTGGAAAGAAGCCACATCTATTTCGTCTTGAAGCAAAATTGGGTCTCGCTGCTTGAAAGTTTAAGAAGGTCTCTTTCTTATCCCTTTTTTTTTGGCGCAATTAATGATTTTTATATATATAATACGAAGATTATAGATGTAATTTTTTTTATTTCTATTTTCCTTTTTGTAAAGGGGATTTTGAGGAAATAGCTTCTAAATAAATACAAATTCTTAGCATAGAAAACTGTTAAAGAAGATAAAGACTATGTCTCTTGCTTAAACTTCAAAAAATTTGTCATCTTAATCACATTTAGATATTTGTTAAATTATTGGGTTATTTTGTATTACTTCCTGTTGAATTTTCTACATGAACTTTTTCGATTTGCGTATGTTTAGAAATAGATACTCGATTTCTAGCTTCCCCTTAGAAGTGATTATTTTTAAAAAAATCTAGGATAGAAATGTAAATATTACTATAGTTTTCTAATTGAAGGATGTTATTAGGAGTGGGATATAAACAGATTTGTATTTATGAATTTCTCCACTTAATTTCTATTTGAAATGTGGGAATATTTTTTTTTACATGCAACATGTTTGATTTAATCCATGAAATCATGTGGGTCTATTTCATTGGTTTTTTTGGGCCCATTTTACTGGATATTGAATACATATATGTGTTTTTTCTCCAATAAATAATCTGTGTGACACATTATACCCACGCGTAGAACACCAGTTGTTGTCGCTAATGCTTACAAGGTGGAACAAGAAATACAAAATCTTATTTCAATGTGCATTCTACCTTCAATTCCATCTCCATGCTACACTGAGCTATCTCTTGATTTTTCATGATACTGAACTCCTATTATGCAATTATTTTGCAGTAAATAGATGTTGACAATCAAATCTCACTATACTGAATTCTAATTTTTAGTTTCTATTACAGGTGGAGTGTAAATTTTAAAATTCAGACTCAAAATATGACTATTGATACATCGTCTCAATTTAGATGACACTAAAATTCAAAGCGTCTCAGTTGGCTTCCTACTTGCTACGCTCATTGATTTATCATGTGAACTCTTGACTATTGATTTTCTCCAGTAAACTTCAATTGTAAGTTCCTCTCGCCCTCTCACTTATCTACTTCTTTTTTACTCTCTTTGATTTATTCTCTATTAAATCTCTGCATTAGTAAAATATAACTCTTAGCAAATTTATTTTACATTAAGTTGGGTTTCTAAGAATTTAATCGCTCTAACATTTTGCATATGGATCAGGCGATTGAAAGTTCTCCAAATGAACATAAAAATTTTGGAGCTCAAGGGGAAAACCATGAGAGGGCTGCAATGAAGCTAGCTCCTTGATAGTATTGCGTGAGACACAAATTGCTAGGTAAGGAATAAATATTTCATGAACGGTGCAAATAGTTATGATTAATTTTGCATTTCATAGATGGTTGTGATATATAAATAAGGTCTCAATGTTATTGATAATTCTCCTCTGTATCTAATATTATGAAATGACGTTGGATGAGTTTGTCATTGCTTTTATTTATTTACGAGACATGTTTGACAAAATTCCCAGTGAAAGGTGTACTTCAAGTAGAGTTTCTTATTACTTATCCAAATTTAAAAAAAATGTATCATTTAGAGAGATAGGCGTAATGACATTGCAGCTGCTGAAAAGCACGCATTCTAAATCTTATTAAGAAAAAGAAAGGTCTTCTATTTCTTGAACAAGTTCCGAAGATGTATTAATCTCCACTATGGATACACATAATTAATAGTTAGGATTAGTCGAATCTTATGTGTACACCTGATGAAAAAAAACCTACATCTTAGAAAACCTCACTGTGTTAGTAATTATATCATTTTTGTAGACGGGAGCACACTAACGTTATAAAATTTGAGGCTTTTGTCTTATAAAGTATTTCAGGTAACTTATATATTGTGTCTGAATTCATGGAGTGTGGTCTTACTGGATTGGCAGCAACACCTAAGTTCACTGGACCACAGGTACTTCTTCTCCTTATTATTTGACAATTCTCAGGGAGCTCAATTTTTGTAACATGAGCTGACCTCAACCTAATGCTAAATATTTATTTTATTGCATATACAACTATTACAGAACTATCTCGATGGCAAGTCCAACTGATTTTTCTTGTTAAATCTTGAGAGCACTGTGATGCAAGTGAAAATGATGCTTGAATGGGTTGGAGTAATAATAGAAAAATAAGAAAGTTTAAATATTTACGATTTGGATATATTATTCTAATAAAAGTCTTTATATGTGGACATGTTAAAGGAAATACCTGATAAAATTCCACATTCAACTTTTCTAAGTGAATTAGGCTAAACTTTGACACTAAAAGTTAGATAAATCAATAATTATGTAATTTTCAATAGTTTTGCTTTACAGGAAAGTAGATAGCCATTTGTCTTTGATAAACATCTTTACTTTGTAATAGTAATAACAAATTAATGTCAAGAGCATAACTATTCTTCCAAACCATTTAATATGTCTAGAATAAGTTTTTGTTACACATAGCTTAATTTTCTGTTCTGTTTCTTATATTTTCTTATGTGTTGAAGACAATGTTTGACAACAAAGGACATGTAAATCAAAGGAAAATGAATTTTATCCAAATAATATTTCACATGTACAACCCTCCAACTATATATTTTGCAATTTTCCTTGATATTTTAGTAGCAATTTTCACTTCAGTTCTTTCTAACATTTGAACTGTTAATTTGAATATTTGCATATTTGCAGACAAGATCTCACTGGGTTCGAGCATCTTTTATTTAAGGTCAAATGATATCTAATGTATGGCTATTACTCATTCTGGCTAATGACTTTTGCTAATTATCAAACATTGTAGAGGGAAGCCATAGGGCTCGTGTGTGTAGGCACTTTAAACCTTGATATGACATTTTATTCAATATAATGGAGTTTAAAAACTCTGCTCTATTTTTCAAGAGCATACCAATTGCCTTTTGATTTGTGGCCGTTAAAAGAATGTTTCAGGTCGTCAGCTAGCTAACTTTTGTATGTTCTCAATGTGAAGTGAAAGTGAGATTATGTCTAACTACATGATCGAAATCGGTTCTATTATCTTGTATTACATATTTGCAGGTTACCATTATTTAGGAGAAAAAGTTCAAGCTTTTCATGCTTAAAAGTGTACCTATCACATGTATTTTGACGTTCAAGTCAAAGATCGTTTTAGATGGATGCAAATGGATTTACATTTACGGTGTACTTAGTTTTTCAAAATTCATGTTTGTGTAATTATAACCAAAGTGATATTATGAGAATATATTCCTTATAGTTGATTACGTTTGCACCCTTTATTTGAACACCCTAGCGAACTTACTTACCCATGTACAAAAAGAGACTAGCTCCCGTTGGACATGTTTCTAGCTAGTATATATATAAGGCAGTAATGACAGCTACTTCTGGTTGTATGAGGTGTTGACATCCATTTTGACCCTTCATGATATGGATACATTTTCGAGCTTCTTTAATTTCAAACGATTTAAAATAATTAATTTTATAAAAAAATTCAAATATTTTTTCAAGTTATTTTAAAGTAATTTTAGTCATTTTATAATTTTTAAAATAATAAATATGATATTTTATATAATTATGTGTATTTATATTATATGGATATTCGAAAATCGTTTGAATTTTTTTTTTTTAGTTTTACTTAAATAGTTGGTTAATTGATTTAGTTAATTAATACTTATATTTTTGAGTTATTAGTTTATAATTAAATTAATTATTTTATTTCGTTAAAATCAAGAAGCTCGTTAATTAATCCATTGTAATTCGTCTTGTTTAAATGTTAAGTCAAATTTTCTAAATTAAACTCAAATTGGCTAACTTCTTAATTCCCATGGCCATAATTGCAAATCATGTGGACCCTCACATTCAATCCGTTATAAACACCAAGTTTTGGGCCCTTTCGTCTCAATTTCAGCCGACCCAATTCCTAATAAACAGACCCAGCCCATTTCCCTTTATTTCCCAGCTAACCAACCCCAGCCCACGCTTTTAGTGACCCGACCCGACCCGCATCTCTTTTAAGTTCTCCTTTATTTCTTCCTTGTGTGCTTAGTTAGTTATTTTCTTTTGAAACCTGATTTGTGGTTCTTATTTTTGTTATTTCTTAGATTGAATCTCTTTATTAGCAGTGCTTTGTGAATATCTATTCAATTTTTGCTCATACTATTGAGTCATTGTCGTAATTATTTTTATTTTTGTTTCTTTGATTATTCATTCCATTTGTATGCCTCCTTTTCCGTGAAATCTGCTAAGCATAATATTTCTTGACCCACATTTCTTTGTTCTTAATTGTCATATTAGTTCCAAAGTGTTTAATTATTTGTACAATTTTAGCAATCTGATTTGTTTAGATAAATGCTATCATTCCATAAATATAAATAAATATGGACGTGTTCAAGTTCATTGTGATGGTTCATCTCTACCGATCTTTGTTTCACTATCGAATGTGCTTAACCTTTCTTGTTGATCTGAGAGTGCTATTTAAATAAGATGCTGCATTTATGAAGAAAAAAATAATACATTGTGTGTATTGCTCAAAGCATGTCTACATATTCTTTAGTTGTCTTGTTTTAATTCGGTCGAAACCATCTTGTCGTTTAAGAGTAATCTTAAACGACTTCAATCAAATTAACCATCTGGCCAACATGTATTAATCCCTTATATTTCTCTTGATGCATGTGACATTGGCTGGGACTTCATTCTTGCATTTCATCGAGTTGAATTTCTTCGAGTTAGCCCATCGATGTTCCAGCGAAAAGATGCTGATGAACAGGTCCCCGGAGGCTAAATATAGGGCTGAAAATTAAATTACAGGTGTTCTTAGGCAAAAAATACAGAAATTGGAGCTGATATACGAGAATATACAGCAATATACAATAAGTGTATATACTGTATTGTGGCAGAAATGGGCCCAAAACCTTCCTAAAATTCCAGCTTTGTATTGTGTTGTAATTGGGCCAAAGACCCATCTATTTTTGGTATTATTTTGCTAGTTTTAGGACATGTGAAAACTGGGCCAAAAGTTAAATTGTTTATTTTCTTAATCTAATTAAGCATGCCTTTTTTTTATAAAAAAAACAGATAGTTAAGCCAAATATTTTTAATCGTCGGATAACCGCAAGTTAGCGGATGTTTTAGGTGCTTTCAAACCCTTCCTAAAACGTTAATATAAACCCCTGAACCCCCTTATATTATTTTCAATTGATTAATAGTTTTGAGCATTTGAAAATATTCGTTGCGGCGACTCTTTATCAAATTAAAATCAATTTTCTCTTTTTAGAATAAAACATGAGGTATTTTGAAAATTGAAAATTTGGTCAATTAAATTTCTCCTTTATCATTTTGTTGTTTTTTCATTGATATCCACGTGGGTGTCTGGAAAAAAGATCCTAATTGATTTGCTTACAATGAATTTTTTAAATTGGAATTTTGGTTTATTTTTGTCATTATTCAAAAATGGACATGATGACATTTGTCTTATATAACACCTTGAAACTTGAAAAGTCAAGATGGAAAGGAAAAGCGCAGAAAATTTACCAAAACAGTGGTCTACCAGACTGACATACGGACCGTAGAAGGGAATCGATAGAACCTAGAGTTGAGTTTGGGAAAATTTGAGTTTCTGAAATTTGACCTACGAGTGAATGAGATGGGCGGTAGGAATTTGAATGGGTTGTAGATGGCACCCGTAGAAGTTATACATACTTGGTTAAATTTTGGACTTAAACTTGGGTTCTACAGATCATAGAATGAACAACGAACCGTAGAAAGGTCTTGTGGAAAATGACTGAATTTGGGGTTTCTAAAGTTGACTCTACGGTTGACCAGAACGGACCGTAGAAAGTTCTACGAACCATAGGTCCGTCCGACAGTTATTTCTTAAGGGTATTTGGGTCTTTTCATATGCATTTAATGTCTATACTATGTCGTTTTGACCCTAATTATAAGTCCTATAACTATTTTTATACTCCTAAATCTACCCAAATCCTTTCATCCTCTCAAATTTTCAGATCCCATCCAAGTTCATCCTCTCAAATTCTCTCTCAAGTTCAAGGAAGAAATCTAAGATTCAAGCTTCAAGTCTCCTTCTTCCTCTATTACTTTTGGGCTTTGATCATCACGGTATGTGGGAATTCACCAATGAGTTCAATTCATCCATTGGGTTCCAAAATATTTTCAAGTTTCCAATTCAATTTCATCAAATTAGGTTAGGGTTTCATCTAATTCACCACGAGTCTTAATTTTTATGATTCAATTATTTGATATTAGTTGTCTTATGAATGATGTGATTCAATTACATA